CTTTTAAAAAAAAACATGTTTTTTCCTTTTTTTTCTTACAGTTCTATAGGTCAGAATAATCTGCCTCTTTTTATTTTTTTTTTGAGACAGAGTCTTGCTTTGTCGCCCAGGATGGAGTGCAGTGGCACAATCTCGGCTCACTGAAACCTCTGCCTCCTGGGTTCAAGAGATTCTTCTTCCTCAGCTTTCTGAGCAGCTGGAATTATACGCACCTGCCACCACTCCCAGCTAATTTTTGTATTTTTAGTAGAGATGGGGTTTCGCCATGTTGGCCAGGCTGCTCCCCAACTCCTGACCTCAGGTGATCCACCTGCCTCAGCCTCCTAAAGTGCTGGGATTACAGGCGTGAGCCACCACAGCAGGCCTACTCTGTCTCTTATGTCACTCACATCTTCCAAAAGAATGATGAAAAACAGGCCGGGTGCATTGGCTCACACCTGTAATCCCAGTCCTTTGGGAGGCCAAGGTGGGCGGATCACCTGAGGTCAAGTGTTTGAGACCAGCCTGGCCAACATGAAGAAACCCCGTGTCTACTAAAAATACAAACATTAGCTGGGCGTGGTGGCACATGACTGTAATCCCAGATATTTGAGAGGCTGAGGCAGGAGGAGAATCGCTTGAACCTGAGAAGCAGAGGTTGCAGTAAGCCAAGATGGTGCCACTGCACTCCAGCCTGGGCAACAGAGTGAGACTCTGTTCCAAAAAATAATAAATAAATAAATAAATAAATACAAACACTAGCTGGGTGTGGTGGCATGTGCCTGTAATCCCAACTACTCTGGAGGCTGAGACAGGAGAATCACTTGAACCTGGGAGGCAGAGTTTGCAGTGAGCCAAGATCCTACCACTGCACTCCAGCCTGGGTGACAGAGCAAGACTCTGTCTCTAAAAAAAAGACAAAAAGAACAGTGAAAAATAAAGTGAGTTCCAATTTGGAGGTAAATACCTTTAAGAGTACTTTAGATTTACACAGCACACAATTACATAGAAAATATTTATAAACTGCACTTCACAAAATAAATAAATAAATAAATAGAAAATAAACTGTCCTTCACTTGAACTGTAAGCTATACTCTGAGGTTACCATTTGTGTGTTAAGACTCTAAAGCTCTGTAAGTTTTTTGTTTTTTTTTTATAGACTAGTCAGGCTGGGTATGGTGGTTCACACCTGTAATCCCAGTGCTTTGGGAGGCTGAAGTGGGTGGATCACCTGAGGTCAGGAGTTCAAGACCAGCCAGGCCAACATGGTGAAACCTTGTGTCTACTAAAATTACAAAAATTAGCCGGGCGTGGTGGTGGGCACCTATAATCCCAGCTACTTGGGAGGCTCAGGCAGGAGAATTGGCTTCAACCGGGGATGCGAAAGTTACAGTGAGATGAGATCGCACAGTACACTCCAGCCATCTGGGCGACAGAGGAAAACGTCGTCTCAAAAAAAAAAAAGAAAAAAAAAGAAGGCCGGGCGCAGTGGCTCACGCCTATAATCCTAGCACTTTGGGAGGCCAAGGCAGGCAGATCACCTGAGGTCGGGAGTTTGAGACCAGCCTGACCAACATGGAGAAGCTCCATGTCTACTAAAAACACAGTATTATCCAGAGAAACTCCGTGTCTACTAAAAATACAGTATTATCTGGGCATGGTGGCGCATGTCTATAATCCCAGCTTTCCAGAGGCTGAGTCAGGAAAATCGCTTGAACCTTTTGACGGAGGTTTGGAGTGAGCCAAGACTGCGCCATTACACTGGGCAACAAGTGTGAAACTCCATCTCAAAAAAACCCCCAGAAAATATAATAGTGTTATAATTTACAAAACCACCCATTAACATCTACACTATATGTACTAAAATATCTTTGAAAATCTGTAAGAAGGCCGGGCGCGGTGGCTCAAGCCTGTAATCCCAGCACTTTGGGAGGCCGAGACGGGCGGATCACGAGGTCAGGAGATCGAGACCATCCTGGCTAAAGCGGTGAAACACCGTCTCTACTAAAAAAATACAAAAAAAAACTAGCCAGGCGAGGTGGCCGGCGCCTGTAGTCCCAGCTACTCGGGAGGCTAAGGCAGGAGAATGGCGTAAACCCGGGAGGTGGAGCTTGCAGTGAGCCGAGATGCCGCCACTGCACTCCAGCCTGGGTGACAGAGCGAGACTCCGTCTCAAAAAAAAAAAAAAAAAGAAAATCTGTAAGAACATATGCTGAATTATTTAGCGTTTATATCTGAGTAGGTGTAATTACTAGATCAACTTCATCATATATTTTTCTATTGCTTAAATTCGTTTTTAAGAGCAAATTTATTTTGGACTTGCAACCAAAAGCCAAGATTCTTCAAAAAAAAGAAAATCGGGGCAGAGCGTGGTGGCTCACGCCTGTAATCGCAGCACCTTGGGAGGCTGAGGTGGGCAGATCACTAGGTCAAGAGATGGAGTCCATCCTGGCCAACATGGTGAAACCCTGTCTCCACCAAAAATACAAAAATTAGCCGGACCTGGTGGCACGCGCCTGTAATCTCAGCTACTCAGGAGGCTGAGGCAGGAGAATCCCTGGAACCCGGGAGGTGGAGGTTGCAGTGAGCCAAGATCGTGCCACTGCACTCCAGCCTGGGTGACAGAACAATAGTCCATCTCAGAAAAAAAATAATAATAATAAAGAAAGAAAATCAAGATTTTCTTTGGTTTCTTTTTTCTTTTTCTAAGGAGTCTCACTCTCCACCAGGCTGGAGTGCAGTGGTGCCATTTCGGCTAACTGCCATTTCCACCTCCAGAGTTTAAGTGATTCTCCTGCCTTTGCCTCCTAAGTAGCTGAGATTACAGGTGTGAGCTACCACATCCGGCTAATTTTTGTATTTTTAGCAGAAATGGGGTTTTGCCATGTTTGGCCAGGCTGGTCTTGAACTCCTGACCTCAAGTGATCCGCCTACCTCAGTCTCCCGAAGTGCTGGGATTGCAGGTGTCAACTGCTGCACACAGCCTTTCTTTGGTTTCTTGGTGACTGTGGGTTTTACTACCTTCTTCCCTAGGTCTTCACCTCAACTTGAATATTGACCTATTGGATATAGAAAACAAGTCGTTATTTCCACTAATAGTTAATTTCCAAAAGCAAATTAAACAGTGAAAACCAGACACCAATCTCTTTTTTTTCGCTCATCTCTCACTTCCTTTCTTCAGCCCCCAGCTTGATGCTTTCATCATAAGAGATGCTTCAAGCCTATGTGCAACTCAAAATCTTCCCTCTCTCAGATCTCAGACCTCAAGCCAGGTATCTTTCCTCAGCCTCTCAGTAACCCTACAGTCATACTTAATATCCCCCAAACCAGGGAAGGCCTTGTAGATTCCATCAGTGCTGCCCACACAGCCATCACACACGTGTTAATTCCCACCGGGTCCCTGAACAATTCCTGTGCTCATTAGGTCAGTAAAACTGGCTCCATTATCTACTCAAGGTTATCCTTTCGGCCGGGGGCAGTGGCTCATGCCTGTAATCCCAGCACTTTGGGAGGCAGAGGCAGGTGGATTACAAGGTCAGGAGATCGAGACCATGGTGAAACCTCGTCTGTACCAAAAATACAAAAAATTAGCCGGGCGAGGTGGCCGGCGCCTGTAGTCCTAGCTACTCAGGAGGCTGAGGCAGGAAAATGGCGTGAACCCGGGAGGCGGAGCTTGCAGTGAGCCGAGATTGCACCACTGCACTCCAGCCTGGCAACAGAGTGAAACTCCGTCTCAAAAAACAAAAAAAGATTATCCTTTCAGCAGATGGAGGGTGGTATCTGCCACATCAGATTTCTCATCAGGATAATAGAAATATAAACTACTCCCATGTTTTGTAGCTGAACAATCTGAAGCAAAGAGAAGATATTTCTATTTTTTTTTCAAAATTTTCCAAAATTTCTAGGCTCTGAATTACCATTTAATATTTCCTCAAATTTATTAGAGCTTCATTATCTGTCCTTTGTAAGAATCAATAATTTTATTAAAATGTTAGTGACACACCATCTTAAAAAACAAAAAAGGTGGAGTGCAGTGGCTCACACCTGTAATCGCAGCACTTTGGGAGGCCATGGCAGGCAGATCACTCAAAGTCAGGAATCTCAATCTGTTGTGATCTCAGCTCACTGCAACCTCCTGCAACAAATTGTTGTATTTTTAGTAGAGACGGTGTTTTGCCATGTTGGCCAGGCTGGTCTCGAACTCCTGACCTCGTGTGATCCACCCAGCTCAGCCTCCCAAAGTGCTGGGATTATAGGCATGAGCCACCTTGCCCAGCCACTTACTCAATTCTATCCATTTTTTGAGGCAGGGGACTCACTGCTGCCCAGGCTGGAGTGAGCCCTCCAGGACTCAAGCGATATTCCTGCCTCCCAAGTAGCTGGGACTACCATGGGCCTCCACGTTCAGCTTTTTCTATTTACTTCTAAGATAGCCGTCTTCTCAGCTAATTTACTCCCTCACCCCAACCAAAAACTTAACAAAGATTTTTGTTTAAGCTGTATTTTTACTGACTGAAACACTAGGAGAATTCAGGCCAAAGTCAACTAAAGGAAAAATGGTTGTTTTATTCATTAGTGCTTAAACCAGCCAAAGTAGTACTGATGTCATAATGCAGCAAACACAAGACCTCTTCCACAAATATTAGCATAATCAACAAAATAGGGGCTATAGTAAAACAGAGCCAAAAAGGGCTGAGGAAATCAATGAAGTATGTTACAGCTTAACCCTTCACCCTTCGCCTCAATAAGGTTTTTATTTTATTTTATTTTATTTTATTTTATTTTATTTTATTTTGACATGGAGTCTGGCTCTGTTATCCAGGCTGGATTGCTGTGGCACCATCTGGGCTCAGCCTCCTGAGTAGCTGGGATTACAGGTGCCTGCCACCACGCCCAGCTAGTCTTCGTATTTTAGTAGAGACAAGGTTTCACCATGTTGGCCAGACTGGTCTTGAACTCCTAACCGGAGGTGATCTGCCTCCCTTGGCCTCCCAAATAGCTGGGATTACAGGAATGAGCCACCGCGCCCGGCCTCAGTAGAGTTTTTTAAAAAATAAGCAAAGCCTCCCAATTCCAAACAATAGGAATATATTTTCATCACACCAATTTGTACTTCTATTTCTTATTCTTATTTTTTTCCTTATTCTTGAGGTTAGATTCTAAACCCTAAAGGTACCCAAACTAGTATTAGATCTAGTTATCTATAGCCAGAGACAGCTAGTATCAAGTAGTCTTTAGCAGTCAAGGTTATTAAAATGCCTTTTCTCCAGGAAGATCCAATAGGAAAAAAAAAAAGAAAGAAACCTCTCTGATTAGGCTCCAACCATACTCCACCCTCCATCAAACTGACTGGATAGGCATAATGGAAGCCAGAACACGTGGTTTCCAAACAAGAAAAATCCTATCAGGGAGGGGAGGAGGGAAAAGGAAGGTTCAGCCAGTGCCCAGACTGAAATTGAGTAATATCATTTTCACTCATCTTCACACATCTTCAGGTTGCATGTTCGTGGAGTAGTTTAGGAATAAATCCACGGTTTGTGGAGTACTACAATACCTAGTCGTCTGCTGTATTACATTAAGGCCTTCCCCAGCAGCTTCCAGGGCAGCCTCCAAGTCACTGGCAGGAGAATTTGGCTGGAACTGCAAGCAGGACTGCAGAGATTCCTCTCCACAGTTAGAGAAGGGACTGTTCCAGGCCTGATTGTTCCAGGACTGGGTGCACCAGGTCTGAGCGTTCCAGGAGTGGTTGCTCCAGGACTGGATGTTCTGGGTCTGGTTGCTCCAGGATGAATTGTTCCAGGTCTGGTTGCTCCACACTGGAAGGTTCCCAGTCGGGTTTACCAGGCATCCCTGGTGGCAGGAAGAGTAGAGGCTGGGGTAGGTAGGTGCTGAGGCCTTCTGAAAGAGAGGGAGGGATTAACGGAAAGGGTACAAAGACAACCACAACTGTCTGTGACTGGAGTTGTGTGTTTCAGGGATGGACAAGATTGAAAGATCACTGAAGGGAAAGAACAGAATAAAGTTTCCTGTTACCTGAGTCACACCATTGCTATTCTTTGGCCAGTTGTTTCTCTGCCACCTCTTAGATTTCATTCTCTGGTTCTGGAACCAGGTCTTCACCTGCAGGAAAAAGTGACAGAAATTACAAAATATTAGTAATACAGATGTTCCTTGAATCAAAGAATATCACTAACTTTTATTCCTGGCGAGGCGCCATGTCTCACACCTGTAATCCCAACACTTCGAGAAGCCAAGCTGGGCGAATTGCTTAAGCCTAGGAGTTCGGGCCAGCCTCACCAAAATGGTGAAACCCGGTCTCTACAAAAATTTAAAAAATTAGTCCGGCATACTTGGTGGCTCACGCCTGTAATCCCAGCACTTTGGGAGGCCGACGCGGGCGGATCACGAGGTCAGGAGATCGAGACCATCCTGGCTAACTCGGTGAAACTCTGTCTCTACTAATTATACAAAAAAAAAAAAATTAGCCAGGCGTGGTGGCGGGCGCCTGTAGTCCCAGCTACTCAGGAGGCTGAGGCAAGATAATGGCCTGAACCCGGGAGGCGGAGCTTGCAGTGAGCCGAGATCACGCCACTGCACTCCAGTCTGGGCGACAAAGCTAGACTCCCTCTCAAAAAAAAAAAATTAGCCAGGCATAATGGTGTGTGCCTGTGGTCCCAGTTACTCAGGCACAGAGATGGAAGGATCACTTGCACCTTGGAGGTGGAGGGTGCAGTGAGCCGAGATTGCACAGCTGCATTCCAGCCTGGGCAACAGAGAAAGACTGTCTTAAAAAAAAGAAGAAAAAAGAGAAATGACCATTTTCGATAAAAAATAAAGGTTAAAAACAAAAGAAACTGGAGGCTGCTGGCAGAAAGAAAAAAAGGAAAAAGAAGAGACAGTTTTTATTTTAATGAGAACCAGTGTAAGTTAGGAATTGTCCTAACCTGAAAAGTGGAGTTACGTCTTTTTTTTTTTTTTGAGACAGAGTCTTGCCCTTTTGCCCAGGCTAGAGTGCAGTGGCAAGATCTCGGCTCACTGCAACCTCCGCCTCCTGGGTTCAAACAATTCTCCTGCCTCAGCCTCCTGAGTAGTTGGGATTACAGGCAGCCACCACCACGCCGAGCAATTTTTTGTATTTTTAGTAGAGACGGGGGTTTCATCATGTTGGCCAGGCTGGTTTTGAACTCCTGACCTCAGGTGATCTGCCTGCCTTGGCCTCCCAAAGTGCTGGGATTACAGGTGTGAACCACCGTGCCCAGTCCATAATTCTTTCTGATAAAGGGAATGTTGGAAAGATTTTCACAATATTGGTCTGTGCAAGAAAAGAAACTGGTTAAGTTATATCACATTCACATAATAGATATATAATGAAAGAAAGAGGTGAAGAACCTTCCGATGTGGAGCAACCAGACCTGGAACAATTCATCCTGGAGCAACCAGACCCAGAACATCCAGTCCTGGAGCAACCACTCCTGGAACACTCAGACCTGGTGCACCCAGTCCTGGAACAATCAGGCCTGGAACAGTCCCTTCTCTAACTGTGGAGAGGAATCTCTGCAGTCCTGCTTGCAGTTCCAGCCAAATTCTCCTGCCAGTGACTTGGAGGCTGCCTTGGAAGCTGCTGGGGAAGGCCTTAATGTAATACAGCAGACGACTAGGTATTTGAGTACTCCACAAACTGTGGATTTACTCCTAAACTACTCCACGAACATGCAACCTGAAGATGTGTGAAGATGAGTGAAAATGATATTACTCAATTTCAGTCTGGGCACTGGCTGAATCCTTCCTTTTCCCTCCTCCCCTCCCTGATAGGATTTTTCTTGTTTGGAAACCACGTGTTCTGGCTTCCATTATGCCTATCCAGTCAGTTTGATGAAGGGTGGGGTAATGGTTGGAGCCTAATCAGAGAGGTTTCTTTCTTTTTTTCCTATTGGATCTTCCCTGAGAAAAGACATTTTAAAAACCTTGGCTGCTAAGGACAACTTGATAGAAGCTGTCTCTGGCTATAGATAACTGGATCTAATACTAGTTTGGATATCTTTAGGGCTTAGAATCTAACCTCAAGGATAAGAAATAAAAGTACAAATTGGTGTGATGAAGATATATTCCTATTGTTTGGGATTGGGAGGCATTGCTCATTTTTTAAAAAAACTGTTGAAGTCAGGCATGGTGGCTCATGCCTGTAATCCCAGCACTTTGGGAGGGCAAGGGAGGCAGATCACCTCAGGTTAGGAGTTTGAGACCAGTCTGGCCAACATGGTGAAACCCTGTCTCTACTAAAATACAAAAATCAACTGGGCGTGGTGGCAGGACCATGTAATCCCAGCTACTTGGGAGGCTGAGGCAGTGAGCCCAGATAGTGCCACAGCAATCCAGCCCGGATGACAGAGCCAGACTCCATCTCAAAATAAAATAAAATAAAATAAAAACTCTATTAAGGTGAAAGGCGAAGGGTTAAGCTGTAACATACATCATCTTCATACTTAAATTATTGCAAGAGAGGGTGTGCTAACACATACCACACATATCTATGTGCATCCACAGAGATCTTAGCCATGCAAATTAGTCTGATTTTTGTTCACCTTATTGCAATGACAAAACAAGCCTACCTGTTTGTAGCTAAGGTTCAGGATGTTGGAAAGTTCTTGCATCTGCTGGAGGCTGAGGTATTTCTGTCTCTGAAATCTATCATTGAATACACACAGCTGGGGGGAAGAGAACACAGTTCTGGCCTTCTGTTTCTTGACCAGGACCTTGTCTTCCTTTTTTGTGGCACTATTCTCTGCAGAAGCGGATTGTTTGCCTTCGGGACTGGTGGAAGAATCGGGGCTGTCCTGAATAAGCAGATCCGTGGAGGAAGGAAGAGGAGAGACTGTTGGGAACAAATAAAAGGATGCTCTTCTCTAAAACTTTCTTCAAATATTAAAATATCCTGGTAAAAAAAATTGTTTTCAAAGTACTTTGATAATTCCCACAACCCGAGATCTAGGTAATAAGCACCTTCTTATTTATTTATTTATTTAGAGACAAAGTCTGGCTCTGACGCCCAGGCTGGAGTGCAGTGCGGTGATCTCGGCTCACTGCAACCTCCCCTTCCCAGGTTCAAGAGATTCTCGCCAGGCGCGGTGGCTCACACCTGTAATTCCAGCACTTTGGGAGGCCAAGGCAGGTGGATCACCTGAGGTCAGGAGTTCAAGAGCAGCCTAAGCAACATGGAGAAACCCCGTCTCTACTAAAAATACAAAATTAGCCGGGTGTGGTGACACATGCCTGTAATCCCAGCTACTCTGGAGGCTGAGGCAGGAGAATCGCTTGAACCTGGGAGGTGGAGGCTGCGGTGAGCCGAGATCGTGCCATTGCACTCCAGCCTGGGCAACAACAGCAAAACTGTCTCAAAAAAAACAAAAAAAAAAAAGAGAGAGAGATTCTCATAGTAGAGACAGGGTTTCACCATGTTGGGCAGGCTAGTCCTGAACTCCTGACCTCAAGTGATCTAGTCGCCTTGGCATCCCAAAGTGCAGGGATTACAGGCGTAAGACACTGCACCCAGCCATAGCACCTTTTTTTTTTTTTTTTTTTTTGAGACAAAGTCTCACTCTGTTGCCCAAGCTGGAGTGTAGTGGCGCAATCTCAGCTGGCTGTAACCTCCACTTCCCAGGTTCAAGCGATTCTCCTGCCTCAGCCTCCCGAGTAGCTGGGACTACAGGCTCGCACCACCGTATCTGGCTAATTTGCTTGTATTTTTAGTAGAGACACGGTTTCACTATGTTGGCCTGGCTGGTCTTGAACTCCTGACCTCGTGATCTGCCCACCTAGGCCTCCCAAAGTGCTGGGATTAGAGGCGTGAGCCACCGCACCCGGCCCATGATAAGCATTTTTTTTTTTCTTTTATTGAGACAGAATCTCACTCTGTCGCTCAGACTGGAGTACATTGGTGCAATCTCAGCTCACTGAACCTCTGCCTCCAGGATTCAAGCAATTTTCTTGCCTCAGCCTCCCGAGTAGCTGGGACTATAGGTGCACGCCACCACGCCTGGCTAATTTTTTGTATTTTAGTTGAGATGGGGGTTTCGCCGTGTTGCCCAGGCTGGTCTTAAACTCCTGAACTCAGGTAATCCGCTCACCTCAGCCTCCCAAACTGCTAGGATTGCAAGTGTGAGCCACCATGCCCGGCCGATAAGCACCTTCTTAACCAACCCTGGACACTTCGGCAAGCTTTCTACCGTATTGAGCCAAGAAGTCTTATCGGTATTTTGCACATAGTGGACCGAGTTGGGAGAGATCTGTAACGGCATGGCCAATATCATTGCTAAGCAGGGATACCACTTTTTGCTTTAAATTGATGCTCAAAAGCCCACACACTGGCTGTTAATCGGTCAGAATGGAGATCCACCAATTCCCGCCTATGGCATCTCACCTTAAATCACTTTCTGTTTATGATCTTCATTGCCACCTAAGTGATTTTTTAAATGACATGAATCTGGGGATCCTATATTACCAGTATCTTGGCTGGGCGTGGTGGCTCACACCTGTAATCCCAGCACTTTGGAAGGTGGAGGCGGGCAGATCACTTGAGGTCAGGAGTTCAAGACCAGCATGGCCAACATGGTGAAATCCCAGCTCTACTACAAATTACAAAAATTAGCCAGGAGTGGTGGCACTAGCCTGTAATCCCAGCTACTAGGAAGGCTGAGGCAGGAGAATCACTTGAACCGTAGAGACGGGGGTTGCAGTGAGCCAATGTTGCATCACTGCACTCCAGCCTGGGCAATAGAATGAGACTGTTGTCTCAAAAAATAAAAAATAAAGCCAGCAACTCACTGCCCAGCTCTCAATGCTAGAACCAGAAGGATATGTGAATTTTGATAGGCTTCTGTTTCAATCCAGGATTTTCCTTTACCAGCCCTCTGACCTCATCTCCAAAATTATTCCTTCGTTTATTAAAATGAGATAACCAATTAAAATGGTCTAGCATAGGGCCTGGCATATACTGATTTTGTAACTAGAAATTAATTTTCTATACTACCTAGTTTCAGTTGTCACTTAAATATGTATTTGGTCTGCGGTGACCCCAGTGTTCAACTCTCAATTCTACCCTGCAGTCACAGAACAAATGAAAAAGCTCTAAAGCAGCAAAAATTCAGTCTCCTGCTTCTTGCAAGTAGACCTGAAAAGCAAAGGAAGTTGTCAACTATTGATTAGAATTGGGGGAAATCTTAAATATTAGCTAGCTATCCAAACTGACACTTGAAGTGTGCTAAAGAAAACATGCTCATTCCCAAACCCAGCACTGTATTTTTAACATTTGAAATTATAAAGGCAAGAACATTAACACGAAGTTTAGAAAAACTGAGTGAATAGCCTGGTGCAGTGGCTCAATATCTGTAATCCCAGCTGGAGAAGCACTTGAGGTCAGGAGTTCGAGGCCAGCTTGGGCTACCAAGTGAGACCCCATCTCTACAAAAAGAATTTTTAAATTAGCTGGGCACAGTGAAGCACGCCTCTCTTCCTAGTACTTGGTAGGCTGAGGCAAGAGGATCACTGACCCCAGGGTTGAGGCTGCAGTGATCCATGATCACACCATTGCACTCCAGCCTGGGTGGCAGAGCGAGTCCCTGATTCTCAAAAAGAGAAAAGCAGGGTGACATTCAAATCTAAGGCTCAAATATAGCAATCGTGTTTACTTACTCCTTTTCCACAACCTACTCTTTGCAACATTAGTCATAATGTAAATGCACTTTTTAAGCTATTTTACAGTGTCAGTGTTACCAATGGCATTCTTGGTAAAGTTGGTTCATTCTTAAGTTTTTGAAAACTACTGAAAAATTGATTTTCAAAAAAGTGGTAGTGGCTTAATGAGTATCCCGAGTATCCCCCACCCCTTGCAGCTACCAGTCAGAAGCCCGAGTACTAGCACAGGTTTTGAAGGCAAACTGGACTTCTAGCTACGTTCTATTTGACTGTCAGTAGACTAAACTTTCTGGAATTATCTTTACGGTAATGTTGAGTCAACACTTCCCAGGACTTAGGAGAAGTACACATGGGAGGTGCTCCCAAACTCAGAGCTGCCCAGTAACATCCACAAACCCAGAGAATGGAGAAGAGCCAGCCGTTAGTGACGTAGAAAGAATTACACAAATTATATATTAATCACAGAAATCTCATCGTGATCTGCCATGCCATTTTTGGCAAAACAAAAACATCATGCTCGTCCCTGAGCTATGATGTTAGGTCTTCTGGTTAATTAGCAGTAACATCTTCTATAGCTGTGTGTCCAGTGCTATGTGAAGGTGTACGCATCACCTTCATTTAACTTTGTTTCCACCATGCCTAAGCCCGTAGGTTCTCAAATTTACTGAACTGTTCAACTGCCAAATTCTGTGTCCTTCAACTCAGTGCATAATCCTGAGACCTGGGACACAGTTAAAAGGGCGGGTGCCACCAAGTTACAATTGAAATGGGTTTTTTCTCCAGAGGATTCGTTGATATTAACCACTTGCTTATAGTAATAGGGTATTAATGCTCAAGAGGGAAATGATCCCTTAACCCTCTCTACTTCCCTTTTCCCTTAAGGAACTTGGCCTTTCAAGGATAAATTTCTTTCTTACCAGTCTCCGTGTGAGGCATCTCAGCAGAAGACATTTGCAAGGATGGATGGTTTTCTTCAGACCCACAAACCGCAGGTGGAGGTGACCAGTCTTTACAGTCGGATGCTTCGGAGCAAGGCAGGTTTTATGGACAAGCTGGATTCACACTCATGTCATTATTGGAGAAGAGTAGGAAAAATTTAACAAGTGGACTGGAAAAAAGGCTAAGATGGCTTTAAGACTTTTTTCTGGAAGATCTTAGAGAAATATGACCTCCAGGAGCGAAAGTATCAAGAATTTGGGATGAAGTGAGTCGCCTTCACAGCAACAGGAGGCAACCAGCTCAGTCCAGCAAAATGTTAAAAGCCTGGAGTCTCTAGATTTATAAAGAAAGCTCTATCACCCTTCGACCCACCCCTCCTGGCGAGCACACCCCCACCCTTGTGAATTCTCAGTTAATCCCGTCTGCCAGTCTCACCAAGGCCATTGTAATGCAAAAGTAGCTGTGGAGTAACCCAGACGAGGTCGGGCACTAGAAAACTGGACAACAGAACCTGAAGACAAATCCAGCAATAAATACTTCTAGGTTCACCACGTTTCCAACTTTTAAATCAGGAATGATGATATTGTCATGTCTTTCAATATTACCTCATGCCCATCTTGTGTGTTTGGGGGGTTTTTCTGAGGTGGGAGGGAGGTGTGTTTTCCAAAGGAATAAAGTTTTTAGAGTTGGATTCCAGCACTAACATTTACGGTCATAAATAGTCTAAAGTGGCCGGGTGCAGTGGCTCATGCCTGTAATCCCAGCACTTTGGAAGGCTGAGGTGAGCAGATCATTAGGTCAGGAGATCGAGACCATCCTGGCTAACATGGTGAAACCCCGTCTGTACTAAAAATACAAAAAATTAGTTGAGCATGGTGGCATGCATCTGTAGTCCCAGCTACTCAGGGGGCTGAGGCAGGAGAATCACTTGAAGCCGGGAAGTGAAGGTTGCAGTGAGCTGAGATCGTGACACTGCACTCCAGCCTGGGTGACAGAGTGAGACTCTGTCTCAAAAAAAAAGTCTAAAGTTTTCCATTGTCCTTTCTATTCCCAAACCCAACATTCAAGAAACCTGGCCAGGTACGGAGGTTCACGCCTGTAATACCAGCACTTTGGGAGGCCGAGGTAGGTGAATCACCTGAGGTCAGGAGTTCAAGATCAGCCTGGCCAACATGGTGCAACCTCATTTCTACTAAAACACACAAAAAAATTAACTGGACTGTAGTGGTGGGTGCCTGTAATCCCAGCTACTCAGGAGGCTGAGGCAGGAGAATTGCTTGAACCCAGGAGGCGGAGGTTGCAGTCAGCCAAGATCGTGCCACTGCACTCCAGTCCGGGTGACAGAGTGAGACCCTGTCTCAAAAAAAAAAAAAAAAAAAGAGAGCGAGAAAAGAAAAAGAAACCTAAGATTTCTTTCTCTTTTCCAATCTCCCACCCAGAAATGTAAACTGTTAGCAAGTCTCAATTATGTAATTTTTGAAGACACAACTCTGACTCATTCTCCTCTGCACTCTGCCCCTAAGGTCTGTACCCGGAGCAGTTGGCTTTGCTCCCACACAAGCTGACTTTTGTCATGCAAAGACTCCGACTGTTGAGAGTAAAAGTATTGCTGGGTGAGAAGCAAGGAGATGAAATGTGGCGTAATCTTTTTTCTTCTCAGACCTCCATTCTGGAGAACAGTCAGAACAGGGTCATCGGGGAGCAGGTAAGTGGAACTAGGTATATCATGCTTCAGGCAGGTAGTCCATGTCTCATTAGAAATAGGAAGATTTATTTTAAAAGGGAAAAACATGCCCTCCTGTCTTTCTTAATTAGCACAGTTTGGTAAGTGGGGGCTGTCAAGACCATCAAGACTCACCAAGGCTGAGCTTGCCCGCAGCTCTCCAAAGGGCAGGTACCAGAAGCTTTGTTCTTTGCTGAAGGGGGACTTTGCATTAAAGTCTCAGCTGAATTCCCCCATCCCCTGCTCCCTGTCCCATTGTGTCTAGGGTAAGAGTCTAGGGAGTGAAAGATCAAAGGGAAGGGGGCTGGTGGCTGGAAGGCCAACTTACTAGTTCTTTGCCAAGGAAAGCCATTTGAATACAGTTGAGGTTTAGGAAGCTGTCTGACTTCAGATTTGTTGGAACAGGCTGGCGTAAGGATGTGTTAAAATGAGCTAGCAACTTAGTAGAGTAGATCAAAACAGACCAAAAAGGCAATTATAATCTTGTGTGATAAGTACTGAAAAAAGTGCACTGGATGCTAAGAGAGTACAAATAATAGAGGTTGGGGTGGGGGAGGGATGGGCAGGGAAGACTGGACAATCTTCAGTGATCTGAGAAGGAAAAACGTGGAGAGAAGAGAATTCCAGAAAATTAACAGTTTGGGTAAAGGCACCAGAGAAAATGATGGGTTCCAATACTGTTGCTTAGCAGGACTCAAAGGCAGGGGGGCAACAGGAGGGAGTTGTGGGAGAGAACACGGCAACTAACACTTAGTGAGCAGATTACTATCAGAGTCTTGTGAACCAGAACGACTCCATCTTAAATAGGAGCTGGGGAAAATGAAGCTGAGACCTACTGGGCTGCATTCCCAGATGGTGAAGGCATTCTAAATCACAGGATGAGACAGGAGGTCAGCACAAAATACAGGTCATAAAGACCTTCTGATAAAACAGGTTGCAGTAAAGGAGCCAGCCAAAACTTACCAAAATCAAAATGGCAGAGAGAGTGACCTCTGTTCATCCTCATTACTACACTTCCATCAGCGCCACAACAGTTTAGGAATGCCAAGTCAACCTAAGGAAGTTATCCTATATGGTCTGTAAAGGGGAGGCATGAATAATCCACCCCTTGTTTAGCGTATCATCAAGTAATAGCCATAAAAAAGGGGAACCAGGCGACCAGGCTCATGCCTGTAATCCCAGCACTTTGGGAGGTCAAGGCGGGTGGATCATCTGAGGTCAGGAGTTCGAGACCAGCCTGACCAATATGATGGAACCCTGTCTCTACTAAAAATACAAAAATTAGCTGGGCGTGGTGGCACACACCTGTAATCCCATCAGGAGGCTGAAGCAGGAGAATCGCTTGAACCTGGGAGGCAGAGGTTGCAGTGAGCAGAAATCACGCTCCTGTACTCCAGCCTGAGCAACAAGAGCGAAACTCCGTCTCAAAAAAAAAAAAAAAAAAGTGGGGGAACCAGGTCAGGCACGGTAGCTCACACCTATAATCCCAGCACTTTGTGAGGCCAAGGTATATCACCTGAGGTCAGGAGTTCGAGACCAACCTGACCAACATGGAGAAACCCATCTCTACTAAAAATACTAAATTAGCCGGGTGTGGTGGTGCACACCTATAATCCCAGCTACTCGGGAGGCTGAGGCAGGAGTGTCGATTCAACTGGGGAGGCAGAGGTTGGAGTGAGCCCACACCATTGCACCCCAGCCTAGGCAACAAAAGCGAAACTCAGTCTTAAAAAGAAAAAAAAAAGACAACCAGCAACGCTCTGAGCTGCTCTGTCTATGGAGTAACCTTTCTTTTATTCCTTTACTTTCTTAATTTTGCTTTATTTTCTTAAGTTGCTTTTACTTTGCCTTGCAGACTTGCCCTGAATTCTTTCTTGTGCTAGATCCAAGAACCCTGTCTTGGGGTCTGGATCGGGATCCTTTTCCTGTAATATTAATATGCATGAGGCACTGTCTTGTCCATATTGTAGCCATCTTAATTATATCTAGCCCAGGGCCTGATACCTGTGTATGTATATATTTGATCATGTTGGTTTATATGGAGATGGAGATGTCAAATTGGTCATTGGAAATTAGAGTCCAGAGACCTGAGAAGTAATAGGTGACCACAGGTAGAAAAAGACTGTACACTTTAAATTAAGTATTTTCTAATTAGTCTATATTCTCCTGGTATTTCTTTTCTTTTCTTTTTTTTTTTTTTTTTTTTGGAGACGGAGTCTTGCTCTGTTGCCCAGGCTAGAGTACAGTGGCACGATCTCAGCTCACTGCAACCTCCACCTCCCGGGTTCAAGCGATTCTCCTGCCTCAGCCTCCTGAGTAGCTGGTATTACAGGTGCCCGCAACCGTGCCCGGCTAATTTTTTTGTATTTTTAGTAGACATGGGGTTTCACTATCTTGGCCAGGCTGGTCTCAAACTCCTGACCTCGTGATCCACCCACCTCAGCCTCCCAAAGTGCTGTGATTATAAGTGTGAGCCACCACGTCTGGCCTCTCCTGGTATTTCTCCTACTATCTCGGCTCGCTGCAACCTCCACCTTCCAGGTTCAAGCGATTCTCCTGCCTCAGCCTCCAGAGCAGCTGGGACTACAGGCGTGCGTCACCACGCCCAGCTAATTTTTGTACTTTTAGTAGAGACAGGGTTTCACCATGTTGGCCAGGATGGTCTCGATCTCTTGACCTTGTGATCCACCAGCCTCGGTCTCCCAAAGTGTTAGGATTACAGGCATGAGCCACTGTGCCCGGCCAGTCCAAAATCTTAAAGCCATCTTTGTCAACTATGCCTTCAAAATATATCTAGAATTCAATGGTATCTTTCTTGTAATTTGATTTCTTTCATATGCTTCTGTTTTCCACTGTTGAGTGAGTTTTTGATCATCACATGAACAAAAGGGCTTGGTGAACCAGCAGAGTGTCAAAAAATGATTATGCTTTTTAAAAACATGCATTTCTTTATTTCTTTCATTACTGCTTGTATCACAGGACTGCTGGGCTGGAGATGACCTGTTTCTCTTGCCAAAAGAGTAGGTTCATATTTGGCATGTGTGCCAACCCAAGCTGCAGCTGACCTTTCCTAAGTGCTATAATGAAGAATCAAGTGTAGGATAGGGAGGGGGACACTTCATTAAGGAGGTCATATTAAAGCTAGGTAGATTTCTGGAGGAAGAACCAGAGACAAAACATTGGTGGCAAAAGCCCTGATTCTGGAGATTTCCTGCCTTCTTCCCAGATCACTAAGGGGCCAACTTAATGGTGCTATGGGAGAACCCAAGGAGACAAAGACAGAGTGTAAAGTACAGGGCTAGAGGAAGGATTCTGTGATTCAGCAGTTTGACTTGTGACTCTGTATGAGAAAAAGCCAAAGGAAGATTTTGATCTAAGGAGTATCTTGATATGACCATCTTTAAAAAACAACAACGAAAAATCATTCTGACCGATACATTGGGACTAGATTATAGGAGGGCATGGGTGCCAACAGAGATGACAGTTGGGAGACTTTTTGAATAACTCAAGTGATAGGATTTGGATAGCGCAATAGGTAGCCTTGGAGATGATTAGAAAAGGTCAAGTGCAGCTTGGGATGACATACATGCCAAATATGAACCTACCCTTTGGCCAGGCAACACAGGTAAGTAATACACATTCTGTCTATGTATCCATCTATGTATCTACCCATCTATCTACCTACCTATCTGATTTATCTCCCTACTATCACTGGAATATAAGCTCTGTGAGGGCAATTATTTTCATTTTTTGCCTGTTTTATTTATTGCCTTGTCTGCAACCCTAGAAGAGTATGTATGGTTCATTCACCAGCATCCTCAGCACCACCTAGGAGCTTGTTAGAGATGCTGATTGATGGGCTTCACCACAGAACAGGAATCTTTGGTGGTAGGGACCAGGAATCTGTGTTTTAAAGTTCTCCCTGTGATTTTTTTTTTTATTTTCATGACAGCCTACCATTGAAACCAGGTGATTTTTCTGAATGCTATTGAATACTCTGAATGCTAAGAACTACTCTTCTAGAGAACCAGGCA